TTCGTTTTGGCTCCCGAGCGAGAACGAGAAAGAGGCGATGCACCATCCTTGCTGCTACGTACGTTGACCTTAACTTGACAGATTCATCCAATTGAACCCAAACTCAAAGGAGCCCAATTATAGCTCGACGCGCTGCTTCAATGGCTCGATATGCCCTCCCGGAGGGATATGTGCATCTAAAAGAACTTTCATACTGTTCATGTAAGGGAGGAATGCCCGCATTAAGATTTAAAACTTGTCGTCTACTTGAAGGAAATGTTTGGAACAGGAAACTTTTAACTTTATTTTTTTTAATTTTAATCAAAACCAATATTGATTATATGTATAATTATGGTTTTAAAATTCAATTATATAAATTATAAAAAAAAATTATAGTATTAAAATTATTTTATTTCATCTTTAATTTTGTCCAGTGCTTAGATTGCAAAGGGAAGAGCTAGAACTGGAGTTTCATGCTTTTAACGACAAATCAACCAAGTCAAAACTAGTGATTCAGACATGAAAAAGTTTGATAACCATAGCTCCTCAAAGTAATATACTGCATTTTTGTTGACACGTGACTCTTTTTTCTACAGAGCTTTGAATGAAAAAGAGAAAAGTCTTCAAGAGTCCCTTCAGCGGGTTGAACTTCTTGAAAAAGAGATTGCCAACAAGGATTGAAATTCATGATGTGTTGGGTAAAAAACTATTATAAATTTGTTTTTTGTATTGGTTCCAATGTGTTTTCTGAAGATTGTAGGTTGATTTTTTTTTAATCTTTAATAATAAATCTCTTGGTTTAATGTGTTTGGTTTAATGGCAGTCGTTGATTGAAGGCAACCAAATTGAGGAAATATATGATATGGAGGATTTTTTTTGACATGATATCTGAAACAAGAAGGTGCCCCTTAATAGCAATGTAGTATTAGGTTATATAGTTAGGGAAAACCTCTTAATAACAATGTACAATCAGATCCCTTAATACCAATGTATTACAATTTTTAGACATGATGTTATTGGATGAAATTGATTGTTTTGGTATATATTTGTTTCCATATTTGTGTCTTATGCGTAAATGAGTATCGTAAAGAGGCGTCGTAAATTCATATCATAAATGGCTGCTGAAGTTTATGACACGCAAATACGTGTTATCTTCATTTATGACAAGGGCTTTAATGATACACAATGCGTGTCATAAATGCGCGTCGTAAGGTTACGACACGCAAATGCGTGTCGTCTTCCTTTATGACAGGGCCTTTCTTGATACACATTGTGTGTCGTAAATGAGCATCGTAAATGCGTGTCGTAACTGCGTATGTGTGTCGTCTCTCGTTATGACAGGGCCTTCCTTGACACGCATTTGTGTGTCGTCTGAGCGTTTTACGACATGCATTGCGCGTCGTAAAAGGCTGTTTTTCTAGTTGTGACATGGTCAAGGCGAAGGCGTGATTATGCACATCATCCTGGATATTTATCTGACCTATGATTTTGGGATACTCTGATTTATAATTATGAATTTTGGAAACTATGTTTTGTATGATTTATGGATTTTGATATGGTTTCAAAAATTAAAATTTGCCATGATTTTTGGGATGTTACAGGAAGCATCCTTAGTAGCACCGCATCTCGTGAAACATTTGGAACATTGAAGTAGTTTGCAATGTCCAACACCTCGTCAATGTGTCTAAAGGCGTCTTCATGGTCCTTCCCATAAAATGGAATATCTTTAAAAATCGAGAGGATATGTCCCTTGAGCACAAAGCTTGTCGCGGCGGGAAATTCTGGTGGAACAAGACCGAGGCCGTTCTCATTACGCATCCGCCTTTTGTACTCCTCCATCGTCATTGTTGTGATGTCCGCCATTTTTTCTACTTCGATTTTGACTTCTTCTTCGGAATCGCTTTCTGTTCTTGGATCGTACCGGATTCCTTTCTTGTCAGGAGTCTTCTCAAAGCTTTCGAATTTGTCCAATTAAAAACTGCTACTCGATTCGTTGACCCTTTTATCTTTATTTTTATGGAACGCGAATTCTGGATCTTCTAGTGTTGGTACGATAGGAAAATTTGATCCCCTAATCATATATTATTGCAAAAAAAACAAAAGAAAAATGCATAAAAATGAAGTAGAAACTAATTAAACGAAAAACTGAAAATTTCATATCTCACGTCGTGACAGAGGGGTTGTTAAGTCGTGAACTCTGAGAAAACAGAAAAACTGAATTAATGCAGAAAATTAACTTTTTGCGATTTTTACCCCACAAAAAGGATTGATTAACTTAGAGAAATTAAATTAAAAACTGAAATAAGTCGTTCCCCGGCAACGGCGCCAAAAACTTGATGTGCACATATTTACCTATCAGTTTTAAATTTATAACCTAACAAAACTTAACTAACTAACGCACTTATAGGCAGTGTACCTAGTCATATTATAGTATAGAAAAGTAAGTTAGGTGTCGATCACAGTGAACGGTTTTTTGCTAATAAAATAACTACTAAAAATTAATTTAAGAAAAACAACTAAAATTGGGGGTTTTATCTGATTTTGCAAGTTTAGATTAACTTAATTTACTCAAATAACTAAAAAATAAAGCAAACAAATAACTAAAGACGATTGTAATTAAGAGAATAAAGACACTTCCGTTTAGCTTTGAATCACCCTTTTTCCTATGATTAGTTTCAAGAAATGGATTAATTTCACTTGGTTACCAATATATAAGTTTTTAGAAGTCTTGGTCTGATCTCCTAACGTTTTCACCGATTTATGAACTACTACGCAATGCTCTTGAGCAGACACTAAATTGATTATTAAGATTATTGGGCTATGTAGGATATATCTAAGATTAATTATCTATAATCTAGATAGATAACAAAAGCCCAATTATGATCCAATTATGTTCTCTAGCACAGTTAAAGTAACTATCTTTATTACCTATTCTAGGATTTGATGAATCACTAGCTCTAGAAATTTAAGATTCATAAACAACTAGGTAAAGAAGTATATGCAATTAAAGTGATTATACAAGTACACAAAACTTGAAGATGTAAGCAACAAAGATTAAAACTATTAACATGTTAGGCTTTGATATATCAAACACAAGCTAAATGTAACATCCGAATTTTCGAGGTATGAATTTTATAAGAAAATAATATTTGTATTTTGAAAATATGGTTGGCCATGAAGTGGTGATGGTATAACCACGACGTGGCAATTTGGTTTGGAACCACATATCTTTAATGAGTGTCACGGTGTGGAGGTAGTATGGCCACGTCGTGGCATCTGTTCTGGCCCAAGTCCATGACCTTTAGGGTTTCCTTTGTATTTAAACCCAATTAGCTTGAATCTAGGGTTCCTTATCAACCCACATCAGCAAACCCTAGCCTCAATTGCTAACTCTTGAGCTTTTGTGGTGTTTGGTGGTGTTTTCAAGAAGAAGAAGAAGAAGGTGCCCCTTAACCTTTATGTCAACAAGAAACTATCCTCATTCCCCCTTGTGCACGTTTTCTGTACTTTTATAAGTACTCAAGATCCGATTTTTATGTCACTTGCTTCTATATCTAGCCCTTTTGTCTCTTAACCTTCATGGTGTAGGAGTGTGGAAGGTTGGATTCCATAAATTTGGCAACTTTATGGATCCTTATGGTCGTCTTCGTGTTATATGCTCTAGATCTGAGGATACTTGGAGTCTTGGTCCCATGCACAAGCTTTGAGTTCATAATTGCCATGTTTTTTTTACCTAAAACGGAAGGGACATGCATGTACATAAAGTTATGATTTTTATTGTCCATTAGGTGTTGGAAACCCTTCTAGAAACTATGGTTGAGTAACTCTAGTCAGTAAGTGCTTAATGGGTGTTTGCATGCATTGGGTTGCCTTTAAGAACTTAGGGTTTGAGATCTTGACTTACTGAGATGTCTTAATGGATAAATTTGGAAACTTTATCCATCAAGACCTTGGGAAGGACCAGATCTAAGCTTTAGAGCTTTTAGAATCGTTGGAATACAGCTTAATATGTTAAGTTGTTCACACTAGTCCCCACGATGTGGCCTTAGGTTGCCACGGCGTGACGACTAGGTAAGGACCAGTATTTTTTGTCTTTACGCTGCCATGGCGTGGCCGATGGATGGTCACGACGTGGCGATTCGTTGATTTGGGATTTTGGGCTGT